AGCGGCTGAGGGAGTTGGGACTGTTTAGTATGAAAAAGAGGAGGCTGAGGGGAGACCTTATCACTCTCTACAACTACTTGAAAGGACACTGTAGAGAGGTTGGTGCTGGTCTCTTCTCACAGGTAGTTAGTGACAGAATGAGAGGGAATGGCTTCAAGCTCCAACAGGGTAGGTTTAGATTGAACATTAGGAAAGAATTTTTCACCGAAAGAGTGATAGGGCATTGGAACAGGCTGCCCAGGGAGGTGGTGGAGTCACCATCCCTGGCTGTGTTTAAGGACCATTTAGATGCAGTGCTAAGGGACATGGTGTAGGGGAGGACTTTGTAGAGTAGGGTAGATGGTTGGACTGATGATCCCAAGGGTCTCTTCCAACCTAGACAATTCTATGATTCTATGATTCTATGATCTCAGAAATGTTCACGCTCCTCCTCAGTCACGCCACTACCCACCTCCTTTCGGGTAGAAACGTACAAAATGGTTGCTTCGCCTATGTTTTGTTAGGAAATGTCTGAAACTCGGCCTTGTGGCATTTGTTTTCTTCCCGGGTATCCCTTTTGGGATTTTCTGCCGCAGCTCCTTCCAAAATCCCCAGCCGTGCCTCTGCTCCTGCTGAGGTCAGGGGCAAGGCTCCTGATGACTCCAGGGTGAGCGGAGGCTGGCGCTGAGCGTCAGACCCAAAGCCGATTGATTGCATCAAAGAGAAGCCTCTCCACTGTTTTCCATGGGTGCTGGGTCAGACCCTCCCGACGTGATCCCACAGCATTAACTTCTGGTGACTAATCCCCATGAGAGCTACTCCACTGCGTAAGCACTACCGAATCCATCGCCAGGCGTTAACACCCTGCAACGGTTTAGCTCTTCTCTTGGTGGGACGCTGAAGGGAAGAGGATGAGGCAGGAAAAGGGAAGCAGAAGGAATAAATGAACAGAGAGATTTTTGAGCTGGTTGTGAAGAATGACGATGTTCTGTACAGCCTGCAAGGACTTAAAAAAAATAAGACATCGGCTGTGTGTTTTACAGATAAGAAAATATTATTTTATTGAACGGAAAGATATATATGTTTCACCTATCACATCTGAACTAATCAGTGTAGGCTTTTAGAAGAAGTCTGTAATTACTCTGAGCACGTCATTAGTTAGATGTAAAATGAATGATATTGCTCCGTTTTATTACCTCTAGTGATATAGCCATTTGTATCATAAATTCATTGACCTCATCTTAAATGATCAATCCTCTAAGACAGACTTGATTCATTAATTCTTAAGTGACATTTTCTCTCCTCCAGTAATTTCCTCCTTGTCGCAGGGACTGTTTTTCTGCCTTTTAGTATGGTATTCTAAGGTGTCATGTTACCTGTGTATGACATGCACATTTTATACTTGTATCTTGAGCAAGCAGCATAGACTGATTGCTTAGATAGATGGACAGACATAAAGAAAGAAAGAAAATAATTAAATACATGGATGTAGTAGATAGACATTTCTCACTGATGTTAACTTCAACACTTTGAGATGTTGCAGAAAATCAATGAGACAATTATTAGATATTTGGTCCATCCAGGATGTTCAGAGGAACAGAATTGCTGCCTTTAATTTCTGTGGCTTTAATTAATTTTAGTGATAAAAAATACAGAATGGTCTGTGATTAATATGTGAGTGAGGCAGGCAGCCTTCAGAGTTTCCTGTACCTCAGTGAATTATTGAAAACAGCAGAAATCAGTAGAGAATTTATAAGCAGGATTTCTAAATCTTTTACCATGGAAGAGAAAATATTTGTTTAGCTAGAGGTGACATAGGAGCCCACTTGAGATAAACAAATCAATACAGCAATAAAACACTGAATTATTTCAGTGAATTTTTCAACTGATAACTAATAAAATTAAATTATTAGAAACTATTAGAAAAGGTGCCACAATTTTGGGGGATCTGTATTTTTCTTTCGGTCAGTTTAATTAAAGTCACTTGTGGGGGCTCTTCCTAGAAAGATAAGGAGGCTTGGTTTACTCTCTCGTATTTCTCAGGTGCTTGTTTGGCATCAGGCTTACAAGTTGGTTTGCTTCCTTTCCCTTCCCAAAGGAAGGGCAAGTCTTAGCTGCACCATCCCAGGACTAAATCAGGGAAGCAGCTGCATCTGAAGTCCTTCTCCATCCCTTACAGCAGCCTCCAAGACCAGTCTCTTCCTCATCTTTCCCCTGCAAGCAGACGCTGTTTAGGCAGGTGATGGGCTGGGGTGGGCTTCATCCTTTCCCTAGCCTTTCTTGGGAACCAGCTGGGAGCTCCTGGTACCTCTTTGTGCAGCTCTTGGGGTACATGGGGAGACCCCCTGCCTCTTTGCACAGCCCTTGGGGCAAGAGCATACCCTGCAAGTGGCAGAAGGAATCATAGTGGTTTACCTCCTGGTTCCATATAAGCAAAAAGGTAGCGTTTTGTGGCTACAGGACTGAGCTCTCAATGAAAAATGACTTTAAGGGAAATTCAGCAGCTTTAGTGAGTTAAATAGTAGCTTATTAACTTGCGGTGTAGACTCACAAATTCCCCTTTTGTCTGCTTGGAAAACAGTGGCAAGTCAGAAAATTTCAGGAGGTCAGTTATAAGGTGTTTCCCTCAGATCACCCTGTGTTGACTTGCCAGGTGGGTGGCAAAACCCCTTCCCATGCCAAATACCCGGGATGGTTTGGTGCCCGCTGCTGCGTGTTTGCGCTGTTTGTGGCCAGGGGTTGCCCAGCTCTGGTGCTGTCTGCGATGGTCACCGAGCCCTCCTGCGGGGAGCACAGGGAGAGCCGATGCCTGGTAAAACCCGGGGGCTCTTGGAAGTGGGGGTGCCCCTGCTTTGCCTTCCTCTCTGCACCCCCTGCTTCCCATCCTCCCTTGGATGCACGTAGATGCACGTGCCATGGCATCAAAAGCATTTATCGCGACTCTTCTGTGCGTTTGACGGCCTTTTTTGTCCACGTTTTTTAGAGCACTACGTCGTCAGTGTGCGTTCCATGCAGAGCTGGCCCTGTTTGAACTCACCAGGAAATTTTCTTTCCTTGCATGGGGCATCGTGCTGGAAATACGCCCGTCCTACTGCCGCGCGCGTCGGGCAGCACCAGCACCCCCTCTGCTTTATCTATTGTGGTGCTGTGTCCATGTGCCCAAGCTAAAAATCTGGGCTCTGCACTCCCAAACTTTACAGGTGACTTAATGGTTGCTGATTCTCAAGTAATTACTTAGTTTGATTTCAATGTTGGGATAAAAACTTCATGGTAGAGAGAAGGAGTGTGTGTGTGTGAATGGGGGCGGGGGAGGCAGGAGAGGGAAGCAAATAGCAACCCAACTGGATAACCAAAAGGTTGCAGAGTTAAAACAAACAGGCTAATAGCTGTAGCATATAGGGGTTGTGGGTGTGTACATGTGTGTATATATATATATTAAAGATATATTACTGAAAACTCAAAAATGTCACCACTGTTTATATTAAAGGAAAGCTGAGAGTTAAATGAGATGGGTAATCAGATGCCCGACATATGTTGTTTGGAATTGTTTATATGGCCAATAGTTATTAAAATTAATTATCCTTTTAATGCAGTCTTTTCACAATCATTTTCTCTTTTTTTTCTTTTTTTTCTTTTTTTTTTTTTTTGGTACAAAAGATATAGTCTTTTCAAAACAAGCTAATATGGGCTATTAGGAAAAGGCAGAACAAACAATACCAGGATGTATTCTGACATGGTCATAGGCTCAACATGCTGATAGCACCAAAATTCTCTGTCAACGGAGTATTTTGAGAACTAATGTAAATGACAAAAATGGGTTTTTTTGTGTGTGTAAAATTCTGTCAAAAAAGTAAGGCACTGAAAAATCTGACATCTGTTTATCTGTTTATAGCTATGGCAAGATTACTCATATTAATTCTTGTTTAAAATGCCATATGAAGGAAAGGCATTTGTGCAAACAAGAGTCATATTTGAATTGTAGATCATGTCTTCACCATCTGTGAGAGCTGTTGGTGTTGCAAAATTAATGTGTTAATGAAATCACAATAATTTCTCTGAAGTAATGGATTCTGAAGCCTAGAATGACTATTTTTTGAACTTTGGTGTCTAGTGGTTTACAACTGGGAAAACCTTTCACAGCTTAATTAGTTCTGCAGCCTTACTTTAAAAAGAAAAGGGCTATGCCTTCACCACACCAATAGTAACACAGAAATGGATTAAATCGAAAGCAGAGAAACAAAACAGAAATGAGCCTGAAACACAAACTTTTTGCCATAGTATTTGAAAAGTTGCTAAACAGACCCTTGCTTGCCAAGAAGTTTTACTCAGTGACTCGTACACAAGAGTGGGCAAACAGCTCAGAAAATAATTCCAGCTTGCCGAAACATCACAAATTGGGACTATTTGAACCTCACACAAATGTCCTGACTGTTTCCAAGCTTCTCCTTGGAATGAAGGGCAAAGGATGAATGATGCTTTTTGCTTCATGATGCCATTTTAAAATACCACACCCTTTCCAACTTAGTATTTGATACTCTTAATAGAGTATGAAATGTTACAGTGTGCTGCAGCTTAGCAGAAATTATTTGTATTCATTTCCAGTAACTTTCTGAGTCCTTTTCCAGTTATCATACTTCTGGTGTAGTATGGCACCTCAGATGGTACAGGTGTGCTTAGATAACCACCAAAGAGTAATCACAGCCATACTCATGGATTTTGTATGCTTATATATGCGTGTTATAAGAGGTTATGCCAACTGAGGATTCTCTGTGGTATGGGTTTAAGATATACAATATATTGAGTAAGGCAGAACTGAGATCATGGGAGCCAGAAAAGGAAGTGGCATTCAATTCACCAATATTTTGGAGTAAAGAAAGCATAGTTTTCACAAACATAACTATTTTTTTTGCTAGAAAAATAATACGAGTCTTTAGAAAGCAACTGAAAAATGACTTTTGAAATAACACTATGAAGAGAGGATTGCTATTCTTACCTGATTTGATTTTATTACTGTGTTGTAGGTATGTGACTGGTGTAAGCACATAAGACACACAAAAGAGTATCTGGATTTTGGGGACGGGGAAAGAAGGCTTCAGTTCTGCAGTGCAAAATGTCTCAATCAGTACAAAATGGACATTTTCTACAAAGAGACACAGGCCAATCTTCCAGCTGGACTGTGCAGTACATTACATCCTCCAGTCGAAAATAAAGCAGAAGGCACTGGGGTGCAGCTGCTGACTCCAGATTCTTGGAATATACCGCTAGCAGATGCTCGGAGAAAAGCCCCATCCCCAGCGTCTGCAGCTGGCCAAATTCAAGGTCCTGGACCATCAGCGTCTACCACTGCCTCTCCGTCTGACACTGCCAACTGCTCTGTCACTAAAATCCCCACACCAGTTCCCAAACCTATTCCCATCAGTGAGAATCCAAATATTCCACCAGTTTCTGTCCAGCCACCTGCTAGCATTGTGCCTCCAATTGGTGTCCCACCTCGCAGTCCTCCCATGGTGATGACGAACCGTGGGCCAGTTCCTCTGCCCATATTCATGGAACAGCAAATTATGCAGCAAATCCGTCCACCATTTATTCGTGGGCCGCCTCACCATGCCTCAAATCCTAACAGCCCTCTGTCAAATCCAATGATTCCTGGAATCGGTCCCCCACCAGGTGGTCCCAGAAATATGGGTCCCACCTCTAGCCCCATGCACAGGCCAATGCTTTCCCCTCATATCCATCCCCCGACAACACCTACCATGCCTGGGAATCCTCCAGGCTTGTTGCCACCTCCCCCTCCAGGAGCTCCTTTGCCCAGTCTTCCCTTTCCCCCTGTCAGCATGATGCCAAATGGTCCTATGCCTATGCCACAGATGATGAACTTTGGATTGCCATCCCTTGCCCCGCTGGTGCCACCTCCAACTCTACTAGTGCCATACCCTGTCATTGTCCCTTTGCCTGTTCCCATCCCCATTCCCATCCCCATCCCTCACATCAACGACTCCAAACCCCCCAACGGCTTCTCCAGCAACGGTGAAAGCTTCATTCCGAGTACCTCCAGCGAGACGCCTGGGGCAAAGCCAAACAATAGCTCTTCATCCCCTCGAGAGTCAAAGCAAGGATCATCTAAATCCTCTGACTCGTCACCGAGCTGCTCAGGCCAGTCCCTAAATCAAGCTCAAGTGCTTCAGGAGCACAGTAAAAATGAAGTTGTTGACTTGACTGTCAGACCTAGTAGTCCAGTGAACAGTAAATTTGGTTTCCCCAGCGTGCTACAGGGTCCACAGGACGGTGTGATAGACCTAACGGTAGGCCACCGGTCTAGGCTGCACAATGTTATCCACAGGGCTTTACATGCCCAGGTGAAAGTTGAACGTGAACCTAACAGTGTTGTAAATTTGGCTTTTGGTAGCTCAGACAAAAGGAACTGCGGTGACTGCAGGGACAACTGCAGCCCAGTTGACTCAAAAACATTACCGTGCAGTGACGGAGCTCACTGCTGTCCTGTCTCCTTGCCCTCTGGCACGCCGGGACTGGAAGCTGGTGCAGCGGTGTGCAACGTCATTGTGAATGGCACGAAGAGCACGGAGGGTTCCAAGAACCCAGAGCCGCCCCAGGAGCCGAAAAAGCCCCAGCCCCCGGAGGAGCTGGCGGTGAGCGAGCTGGAGTCTGTTAAGGAGAACAACTGCGCATCAAACTGCCACCTCGAGGGAGATGCGGGCAAGAAGACCGGGGAGGAGCCCCTTGCTGGGGGAGACAAACAGGACCCGAACCTTAACAATCCAGCAGATGAGGACCATGCGTATGCTTTGCGGATGCTGCCCAAGACAGGTTGCGTGATCCAGCCTGTGCCAAAACCAGCAGAAAAGACTGCTATCGCGCCGTGCATTATCTCAACGCCAATACTCAGCACAGGGCCAGAGGATCTGGAGCCACCGTTGAAAAGGAGGTGTCTCCGAATTCGAAATCAGAATAAGTAAAGGTTTGTGTAATCGCTACTGCCTTCTGTGTGAGTAGAATGAGTATTTTCAGGTGTGAGGTCAAACTCGCGCGGATGTGGCCTTTATGAAACAAGATACAGGTCCCAATTTATCAGCACTTTGAGAAAACTATTGGTATTTATGTTTTATTATTGTTCTTTGTGTTGTATTGCATCTGTACTTGTCAGTACTCCATCCATCAGCAGCCTCATTACATTTTTGCTCACAGAACATTTTGTGATGGTGCTGGCTGTGAAATTATTGTGTTGTGTATGTCAAAGTCAGTGGTTTTCTGCCTAGGATATGGTTTAGGTCTGGGCCATTAATCTGCTTACTTATTCCAGCTGAGTTACGCAGCAACTCAAGCCTTCATGATGATGATTGAAATTGCCCTACAGCATAGCACAGAGCAGGACGACCCAGCTGCTTCCTGCTAGCTCAGATCCAACTGACTTACCAAATGGTCATCTCCAACCACTTTACTTTGGTCTGCCTCCAGACCGCACCTTGGCTTTCAACCAGGCTGGTCTCCAGAGAGTGAACCCCCTCTCTCTGAGCTTTCCTTCCTCGGGTATTGGTGCTTAGGGACTGCCTGCTGTTTGGGACCTGCCCACTGTAGCTTATCTCAGCAAGACCTGTGCCATGGGGCTTTACTTTCTGACCCGAGGTATCTGCTTTTGGTGAAAGTCTCTCACCTTAGAAAAGCAGCTGAGGTTTCCACCAGCCCTGCAGTTGTTATATGTGTGTGGCTCTTTGTAGGGCTGCAAAGCAAGGCAGAGATATGAGTAAGTCCACTGACAACTGGCCTTCCAGTACCTGAAGGGTGCCTACAGGAGAGACGGGGAGGGACTTTTTATCAGAGAGTGTAGCAATAGGACAAGGGATAATGGTTTTAAACTGAAAGAGGGGAGATTTAGATTAGATATTAGGAAGAAATTCTTTACTGTGAGGGTGGTGAGACACTGGAACAGGTTGCCCAGAGAAGCTGTGGCTGCCCCATCCCTGGAGGTGTTCAAGGCCAGGCTGGATGGGGCTTTGAGCAACCTGGTCTGGTGGGAGGTGTCCCGGCAGGCAGAGGTTGGAACTAGACGATTTTTAAGGTCCCTTCCAACCCAAACCATTCTATGATTCTATGAACTGAGAGACAGAAACCCCCCACCCTTCATTCCCTACTCCCAGCCTACTGAGTCCCTCTGATAAAAGAGCGCCTTTGTAAAACTGTTAGCTTAATATATGTCTGTTGCTTCAAACCTGTGAGCAAGAAACAAATGTAATTGCATTTGTTTAGATTCACAAGCGTGGAGAGCTTCTTTCAGGAAAAGGGAAAATGGTGGGTGTTGCAAGAAATCTGTTCAGCAGTAAAATACTGACGGTTTGCCGGATGTGGCTTGATGACATGCCAGATTTCATTACAATCCGTGGAATATTCTGTAGCCTCCAGTAAATCCCTGTCCCTGGTAGCACAAATAGCGACTGGAGCGATGCAATACGAATATTGCCTTGAAGGGCTTGGCACCTACAGCCGTAGATAGCAGCGCAGGCTGACAAATCTGGGCCACTGCAACCTCTCCCTGCTCCATCAGTGCGGGCTAATTGCACCCTCAGTGATACCGCAGTATACAGTCAGGACTCCCTTTTTATTTGTTAACATTGCGTTCCCTGTGTTGGCTGCAGTGCCGGAAATGTTGCTTCCCTTGATCACAAACAGTATTTATTTACTTTCTGCAATGGAACAGAACCCTTATTCTCTGCTCTCGGCGTGTGCTGACACATTTAAAAGATACATTTCTAAGAACAGAGCACAACTATAGCTTTCTTGGGCTAAAAACCAACATACGCAATAACTCAGTGAATATTTAAAATCTTTGCACACTCCTAGCCTCTGCTGGTGGACCTACCCACCTCTGAGGTATGGACAGACAGTATGTCCCTCTCAGCAGTGAGATCTTTATTGCAAACCCCAGTATGCCACATTTTGAGCTTGAGAGATGGTCTGTTCATAAATGAACACATGCTTTTACCTAGGGGTCATGATTTTATCTAGTGAGAAGGCCACTATTCGACAGTATCCCTTCTATTTAGTTCTAAGAGAGTCGTGGTTAACCCATCCTTTCCTACCTTGCTCAGTCTCCCCATAGCTGTGGTTTATTTCAAGCCAGTGCTGAGAGACTTGCACGTTTGTGTGCTGGCACTGTAGTCAAAGACAGACCGCTTCTTACCATCTATTTATGCTTGTCCAGACCATCCAGGCTGCAGTAATGCCGCCTTTCCAAGGTCCCAATCCCAAGAAGAATTTAGCATCGTCCAGAGCCAAAGCCTTAAAACTCTGAGAGAGAGTTCTGGCTTCACTGATTTGTGAATTTTTGCCTGTTGACACGATTATACATGACATCACTTCACAGATAGTATTTGACAGAGAAAGTGGGCAAACTGAACAAGCTGCATTGAAAAGACAAGAAGGATGCTTTATCACTCAGTTATTGTCCTCAGCTCTTTCTATTATCTAAATGTCAATAACTGTCACTGTGGTTATCCTCAGGAATAACCATTTTCCCATTCACCAAGAATTTTATATATTCCTTTGTCTCGGTGTAAGGGTTGTCTTACAGGAAAGTTTTCAGGTTGCCAGGCAAGATTAATCTGACCCAATATAGACATCTGGAATGAAGACACATGAGCTAATTGTCTAAATTCTCTTTAAAATAAACCTAGAGAAGAAGGCACTTCAAAGAGACAGCTGAGCTCATCCTGAAGTCGACAACTAAGACAGCTCGGACGAATTGTGCCCTAGGAGTGCCCATTTCTCCCTGCTGTGAAGGAAACTTAGGGTGACTGGCACAGACGTAGATGTCCCCACAGAGGCTGAAAATTAAAAAGCCCAGCCTAGGTGTCTGCCTTGCCTCTGGGGTTTGTGCAATAGCATAGCATGGCATGGTGATGGTTTTTAGTCAGTCTGTTTTCATCCCCTCCTTTCTCCCCAAAATGAAAAGAGGTAGCCTCTGTGCAGAAGAGATATGACACCAGGATCCTTGTGTGCTTCAAGGGAAAGAAGATACCCAAAATACTCTGCAGAAATAAACAGTCTGATAACCATCTCATTCCAGTGGATACCTCAGTGAAATGCGGGTGGGTTTTGAGCCTCTCAAGGCACACACAAGTGATTCCTGCAGCTCTGATGATTGATTTGAGGCGAGGACTCTTTGGTTTCCTGCAGAGCCCTCCTTTCACTAGTGCTGGTAATAGCCAGTCCAGGGGAGCAGGATAGCTGCTTAGATTTCTGGCCCCCCAGCAGTCTGTGTGTGAAGGCCTGCTCCTTCAGCAGTCTGGCTGTGGGGAGGATCCCTCACGAGAGGCTCACAACCTCATAGAAATTCTACTAAAATACAAAGAGGGTAGGAGCTGCACTCATAATTGTGTTGACTTGGGCCTTTGGAAGTTTGTATTGATTGCACTGGCCACGCTGGAGAAGAAAACTAAGCCTGGAGAAGAACAAGTCCAGGGAATTGTCTTTTTCTCTCTTGCTCTCCGCCTACCCTAATTGGAAAATCTGAACATATTGCCCTAATGTGCAACTTTTCCTGGATTTTATTTCCCATCAAATTGTATGAAAAGAAGGAAATTAGCCAAATATTTTTACGCTAGAGTTCTGGACAGACAGATTGAATTCATGTAATAACAACATGGACTCTCTAAAAAGGAATCAATGCAAGCGTGACCTTTTCGGGCAAGTCGCCAAACTCTGGATTATTTAATGTACCAATTACTTGATTATTGGAAGTGCTAATCAGCAACATAATCCTTGATGTTAAAGTTTAGTCTCTCCATCAGGATGTGGACTGTCAAGCTGTTCTAGCTTGAAGCAATTTGAAGAACCAGCAAAAGATGTTTTGGTGCCAAAGTCCTACTATCATAAAGGAATGAGGCTAGGAGGAATATTCTGTTGAGTGTTATTTTTTCAAGTTTGAACAACATGAGTTTCTAAAATTAGCAGTGCTAGTGTTGCCTGCCTACACACTTTACGTCCAGGCTGGATCAGTTTTAACCCTTCAGTTTTGGTGTCAAGGTTTCCTAAAGCAAATAAATGGAAACACTAAGTTCTGATTGGATTTAACATGATAGTTATGGTAAACTAAATTAGAAAATTAAGTGGCACACGTGAAACTCACAACTAGCTTCTGTGTGTTTGTCTGTATGTGTGCATGTTGGGGGCAGGAGGGAGTTATTCTGCTTGTGTTAGCAGAATTTCTCCCAGAAGTAATAAAAATAGTAGGAGTATGGCCACCTACAGAGCCAACCCGTATGTCCTGGGGTCAGCATCTGTTGAGTTATAGGCCCAAACCTCCAGCTGTCTACTCCATACATTGTCGTCGTAAAAATATACAACATGCAGAATGCTCCAGTTCAGAGCAGAAGTAATATGTATCCCACTGTGAGCTCCCCTGCCCATAATGGTCCAGCACAAGATTTCCTGCTCTGGTCAGGATTCCTGAGGCAAGGGGCATAGCTATTAACCTCCCTTTCTGCCTTAAGAGTTTTTATCGCTCCCCTGTCGGTGTAGTGTCTTACCTACCAGCATCTTACCCTACCCTCTTCACTCTGATCAAGATAGAATTTGACCTTAAAGGTATACTTGAAAACAGATTTCATAGATTTAAACACATTTTTATGCTAATCATCTTCATTGACACAGTACTATGGGCCAGAGCCTTAGCTAATTTTAACTGGGTATGGTGCCACTGGTGCTAAACTAATTTAAATCAGCAGAGTAATTGGACTCGTACACTTAACACCTACTCTTCTGATTCAGAAGGTTTCTTTCACCTGGCTTCTTATGAGTCTACAGAAATTTTCCATTTTTCCGGAGGGGCAGAGAGACTGTTAACACCACAAAATCTTAACACATTTGCTCAGAACTGAAGCTTTGCTCTTGAGAGCCGCCTGGCTCTAGCAGCGTGATCTTACTTTTCCAAATTGCCCGTGTAGCTTCTCAGATATATTAAAT